TACAGGCATGCACCACTATGCCCAGCTAATTTTGTATTTTTAGTAGAGACGGGGTTTCACCATGTTGACCAGGATGGTCTCGATCTCTTGACCTCGTGATCCACCCGTCTCAGCCTCCCAAAGTGCTGGGATTATAGGCGTGAGCCACCGCTCCCAGTCTGTCCATTTCATAATACTGTTTCCAGAGAGTATCAACAAGAAGAGATTCAGGGATGCTTGCCCTCTTTTTGTAAAACCAATAAGAAAATAAATATGTTAAATATATATTTACTCTCTGTCTTGAGAGAAGTGTGCATGCTCGTGTGTGTGTGTGTGTGTGTGTGTGTGCGTGTGTGTGTGTTCACCATGCTCTCTGTGGTTGCTTCTTGGGGGGAGGTGTTGGCTGTGGGGAGGCAGGCAGAGATATCCTTCAGGAACATCTGGCCACAGATTCTGCCACGTCCTTCCTCCAAAGCGGGTTGCGTGTCAGGATTTAGAACCAGGAGATCTCAATGTTTCTAAACAGGTCCTTAAACAGGAATGTAGAGACGAGGTAGTTTTCTTTGACAACAGTGCCGTTGTGGTCACGTCTTTCGGAACCGTGGTGTGCATGTGAGTATAAAAGCCAGTGGTGTCACAGATGCTGGCCTCCTTTCTCGAGGCTGACCGGCCCTCCCTGTGCGGAGAACAGGGTCACTCTTGGGAGGGCCCCCCAAGGAGGGCTTGTAAAGATTCCATGAGGGCCGCTCCTGTCCTGGGAGACCGCCTCACTTATGCTGGATTCTATACCCTCAGCCAAGTACATCAGAAATGGACAGGAGGGGTGGGTGTGTGTGTGTGTGTGTGTGTGTGTGTGTGTGTGCATGTGTGTATAGAGGTGGAAGGGTGGGAAGGGGTGACTCTTGCTACCAATATGCAACACATACTGGGATTATGGATGTTTCCATTTGTTTCCTTTTTATTTGTTTGTTTTTCTGTGTCTTTTAACTTTTCTACAATAAATATGGATTGCCTTCCCAATAAGAAACAAACATATCCTTTTAATTTGCTTTAAGTAGAAAGAGAGAAAAGGTTCCCATGACATATTCAAGTGGCTATTCTGCTGTTTATCTTTTGCACTCGTGCTCTCTCCCCAAGTCTCGGGGCCCAGGGCACCCCCCTGTCAAGTGAGGCTTCTGCAGGGCAATGCTCGCAGGTAGGGTAGGAGGGGGACAGATGGGGCCAGCAAGGAGTCAGCCCGCAGCCTCAGGGCAGACTTCAGGGCGTGATAGTCTCCTATGTTGGCGATACTTGGGCCAGGTGTCGGCCCCTTTTATCTGTCCTGTTCTGCTGGGCTCCTTTTCTTGTTTCTGTGTGTCCCTAGGGCCCCACTGTCCCTCTGGGGAATCTCAGGGCTCTTGTCTCCCGACTCTTCATTTCACATGTTGCATGGGATGGGACACAGTTTCGGTTTCTCACATCCAGGTCTTGCCACAGCCTGAGGAGACCCTTCTTACAGCTGCTTCAGTTGCTTTTAAAACGCAGACCACCTGCGTATACTTTTCAAGTGACTAGAACAGATAACCTCTACTTATATTTTAAAGGAAAATACATTTTTAAGAAAGCATTTAGGGCCAGGTGCAGTGGCTCACGACTGTAATCCCAGTACCCTGGGAGGCCAAGGTAGCAGATCACGAGGTCAGGAGTTCGAGACCAGGCTGGCCAACATAGTGAAACCCCATCTCTACTAAAAATACAAAACACTAGCCAGACGTGGTGGCGGGCACCTGTAATCCCAGCTGCTCGGGAGGCTGAGGCAGGAGAATCACTTGAACCTGGGAGTTGGAGGTTGCAGTGAACTGAGATCACACCAATGTACTCTCCAGCCCCAGGCAATATTGTGAAATTCCATCTCAAAA